GGTAAGAAGGAATAACAAAGCTGTTGTTTGGAAGAAGTATGACTGGGACTGGGAGAAGTCACTTGAAAATAGCTTTTCTAAATCAAAATGGCTAGACCATTGTCCTTTTGTTTGGCCATCTGCCATTTGTCCTCCTGACTTCAATTGGATTGATAATAATTGAACAGAGAGAATAAATGAAAAGATTAGAAAGAGGAGGAGATGAATCATTTTCTTTTAAACCTTAGGATTAATGTGACACCAGAAAACTAAACAGTTAAAATGTTTTGATCCAGATAGCTAGCACTCCAATATCATTGGAAATTTCCAAGAATATAAACACCAGATAATAAGAAGCTGTAATGAAAGATAAATAAGTCATGTCTGTTGAAGTAATTACAAAATAGTTTGCTTACAAGAAGTGTGACCACTTGGGAAACTCTTATGTCCTTCCTTAATGACACTCTTCAATCCATTACATATAACTTCCCCTGTCCCATTATTAAACACCTGCAAGTATCATTCACAAACTGTGTGTTGACTGAGTATAAAACTGATCAAAATCTTGATTGCAAAAACTTGAACTCAATAAAATGTCAAGGTAATCAAGGGAGAGTGGAAGACCAACCCCTGTGCCATTAGGGAAACAACGCCAAAAGAAGTCTGGGCGGGGTCGACCAACAGCATCTTTAATAGCATCAGTTATCACGCCAGTGATAAGTACAGAAAACAGAAGGCCTGCATATCCATTACACAGTCCATTGTCATTACAATGTCATCAAATTAAAAGTAGCAGGTATCTGACCCTTAAAATTCTCTGGTGGGGATGGTACCCAATATGGCTTGATGCAGATCAAAGACATCCTTTCTGATGAAGTAGTAGACAAGAATAACACAAAAAGGCAGCAATATTGCAATCATCTGTTAACACAGAAGAAAAAGAATATAAGTATTATTATCTTGAATGTGAATCTCAAAAAACATCTTCATGCAAAAAATTTAAACCAGTAGGACACCATATCTCAAAGTCAGAACATACAGGAACAGCCCAGAAGGGAACAGTATTTTCTTTCATGGGGTAACTCAGGTCTGTCATCATATCCTTTCCAACAAAACGGTAAAATGGTTCAATAACGTTCAAAATGACATCCAGTACAATAAGAAGCAGAAGAATCAACCAGTCATGCATGTGAACTCTTGCAACTTTTGCTCCATGGGACTTAATGGTGTGACTGCCCAACTGAATCTCCGGCATTTTCACTAGTTGTCCAGACAAATGAAAAAAGGTTAATACACAAAAGCGAAATGGAAATTAAAGATTATACAAATAAAAGGCTGGCAACAAAAATTCAGAATATAAATATACAATAAAAAGAATGTAATGAAAGTCATATTACAATTCATTATATCAAATCCAATTGATCTAGCATGCGAATGAACGAGATGAACTAACTAATACTGTAAGAAAACAATTTAGAAAGGAGAATCCAATTGTAATCAAATGAGCCTTAGCTTTAAATGTATTTAAAATCATATAAACACACGGACAGGTAAGTATTGCAAATACACACAAACATCAAACAAAGCAAAGCATGAATCTGGGTTTCCTTGAAAAAAAAATTTTTTTTTTCCCTATATACTTGGATTGGAAGCTAAGGAACAGAATGAAAATGAAAAGGAGACTAAAACATTGAGTATCAAAAGCAAAAAAATACAAGGAAAAAAAGAAACAAAGAATAGGAGGATAGAAGATACCAAGTAAACAAACAAACAAAAAAGGCCTCAAACTAAGTCGAGTAGAGTCAACTTTACTAAGTTCCTTTCATTTTTTCCCTCACTTTCTCAAGAACCAAACAGCATTAAAAAAAAAAAAAAACAACAAAACAAATCCACGCTTGACTACACTTAATTCAGGTCAAAACAAAAATAAACACGATAATCAGTACGGACATGTGTGTATGAAGTACAGAAATTAAAGAAAAAATAAAAATAAAAAAGCGAAAATGAAAGATAGAAGATGACAGACAGACAGACAGATTAACAAACAAAAGCCTCGAACTCAACTAAGCCTAGTCCAGCAATTCAGTAGAATTAACTTTACTGAAACAACAGCTTTCCTTTCGTTTTCCCCAACTTTCTCCAGAACCAAACAGCATAAAAAAAAAAAGAAACAGAAATCTACTCACAACTTTAGAGATAATCAACTCAGAACACAAACAGGCACGACAATCTGATTCGAAATTTCATCCAGAATACAAAAATTCAACCAAAAAAAAAAAAGAACTGAAAATCAGAATCACTTGAGACGAACATGAACTGACCGGATGAAAATCTGAAATTTCAGTAACGACTTCGGATATAAAGATGGGAGAAATTCGTCGGAGAAGGAAGAATCGGATAAAAAAAGGATGACCTTTTAAAGAGGAAAATAAGATAATAATAAAGTGCGTTTTGAGTGTCTTCTGACTTTCACGCGAACAGAGACAGAGAGAAACAGGGGAGAGCCTTTGCCGTCGGTTTAAAGGCGCGTGGCAAAAAAGGATTGTCTAATTAGAGTCATAAATCAACAAATGTGCAACCCATTTGATTGGGGCTGGACTTGGGGGGAAATGCGCAGGCGTAAGACAAGAACATAAAGGAGGAAAAAAGAAAACATGGACTTTGATTTGAAAAGTTGTACAAGAAGACCAAGACTCTCTCCACTTCGAACACAGCCTTCGGTCCCTAATAATTCGT